TAGGCCCAAACACCTGCCACAGCATTTCCCTTCTAAGGAATGCCCATTTTGGTTGTTAAATATGAAATTAGTTTACTTCAGGATCAGCTTGCAAATAAGTCCAGTGTATCTATCTCTGGATGCCACATAAGCATTAGCTCAACAAATATTACATACTTACTACACTCCAAGCACTGTTCTAGGTGCTGGGGTTAAAGCAATGTAAAGGCAGCTGACAAATATCCTTCCTCTCACTTAACATTCTAGATTGGGGAAAAAGACAACTCATGTAAATGTATGTTTGATGGTAATATTAAGCAAAATAAACTGAAAAAGGAGGGCTGGAAAAGCAAGGGATATTATTTTATACGTAATGGCCAAGGAATGTTCCACTGAAAGGGTAATACTTGAGCAAAATATCCTGCAGAAATGAGTAACCCAGTCAGGCAGAGGGATCAGCAAGTACAAAGGCCACAAAGTAAAAACCTACTTGAGCAAATTACTGAATTTCTTTAGGTTGTTTTCTCATCCATAAAACGGGTATAATATCCCCTATCATGTAATAACTAAAGGTAGTATATTACCTCAAGTATCTGACACATGCAATGTACTCAACAAATGGAATTACTGAGCTATCTGGGGGGCCTATCATGCCAGCAAAACCCTCAGCCTATTATCTGGCACACAGAAAAATCCCAGAAAAAGTAAAGGTTGAGTATCCCTTATCCAAAATGCTTGGGACCAAAAGTGTTTCAAATATAAATATTCCAAAATCCAAGTATTAATATTGTTTGGATTTGGGATTATTTGTATTACACTTAGCAGTTGAGCATCACATATCCAAAATGTTATTTGTATTATACTTACCAGTTGAGCATCCCATATCCAAAATGTTCCAATGAATATTTCTTTGGAGCATCATGTGGATGCTTAAAAGGTTTCAGATTTTGGAGGATTTGGGATTTGGGATGCTCAACCTGTATTATTATAGTCTCTATAAATAACCTATAAGGCAAATGGGATTACTTACAGCTGGGAAAACTTGAAGATTAGAGATTTGCCCAATCCTCTGCTATCCCCTAAAATTCCTATAAGGATGCACAAACATACTCCACAATTAAATAGAGGACTTAAAAGTACACTGCCAAGATGAAAAAACCACTCACATTATTGTCCACTGATCAGCAGTATGGCAGTGTAGCATTAAGAACTCAGGAACAGAAAACCAAACACCACATGTTCTCACTTGTAAGTGGGAGCTGAATGATGAGAACACATGGACATATGCGGGGAAACAACACACACTGGGGCTGTGGGGGAGGGGCAGAGCATCAGGAAGAATAGCTAATGGAAGCTGGGCTTAATACCTAGGTGATGGGATGATCTGTGCAGCAAACCACAGGTTTACCTACTACGTTAACAAACCTGCACATGTACCTCTGAACTTAAAGTAAAAAAAAATAAAAAACAAAAAATAACTCATTAGTGGCCAGGCACGGTGGCTCACGCCTGTAATCCCAACACTTGGGAAGCCAAAGCAGCCGGGTCGCTTGAGCCTACGAGTTCAAAACCAGCCTAAGCAATATGGTGAGACCCCATCTCTGCAAAAAACATGAAAATAAGCTGGGCTTGGTGGAATGCACTTGTAGTCCCAGTTACTCAGGAGGCTGAGGTAATAGTATCACTTGGGCCCAGAAAGTCAAGGCTGTAGTGAGCCGTGATCGTGCCACTTACACTCCAGTCTGGGCAACAGAATGAGACTCTATCTCAAAAAAAAAAAAAAAAACTTGGGAACCAGATTGCCTGGGTTCACAATAAGGCTCCAACACTTCCTAAGTATGTGTGTGCTTAGAAAAAGTTTAGGCTCACTATGCCTCCATTTCCTCACACACAAACAGAAAATAATAATAGCACCAACACCTCACAGGCTTGTAGGGAAATTTAAATGCATTAATTTTTCTATTTTTTTCATTATTTTTAAAGGAAATGTTACTGAGTCATAAAATGGATTAATTTTTGAAATCACTTCTATTTCAGTGCCTCACAAATAAGGTTGTCTGTCTACTCTTAGCAGTAATAGCATAAAAGTAAAATAAGGAAATCACCATCAAAACATTTCTACTTTTTATGAAGAACTACAGAAACTGTAAAGATACTGGAGGAAAAAAACAAAAAGCAGCAGAAAAGGGAGGCTGGAATATGAAAACCAAAACACAAACTGGAATCATAATGCTGCCTAACCTAGACCAGTTTACCTGAACAGATTATTCTTATTAGAATTATTGTTCTTTACTATGGAGACAATGCTTTAGATTAACATTTTGTTTCAAAGTTTATTTTCTAAAAAGGTTAATTCCTTAAAATTAATTCAGATACCACTTTACTCAAGATTACAACAGTACAGTATAAGAAACTTTATCATCAGTACAGTGTAAGAAACTTTATCATCTCCCTGCGACTAAGCGTTTTCTAGTTGCTACTTGATGTTTATTATAAAACATGAAACATATCACATGCAACTTTAAACATCCATCAGCTCTCGGTTGAAAATAAGCTTTAATCCTACTTAATCCCCCAAAAGGTTCCTGATCACTATGAGAAGTTTAACTTCCTCCTCTGTCTTTTCCATTTAGAGTTCTTGTATCCTTTTTATTCTCTTTCCCCAAGGAAAGTATCACTATGAAATCTATAAATCATCCCACTGGGAGGCAGTGTATCACCATGTAAAGAAGTGTTCTAGAATTAGGCAGAACTGGATTCAAAAAGTAAGCTTGGTCACTTATTAGCTGAGTGATCTTGGGCAAGTCTCTTAACAATTCGGAACCTCAGTAAATGACCTCAACAGGGTTGTTGTAAGAAACAAAAAATTAAATGTTAGGGAACCTAGTACAACTTGTTATATAGTAAGAAAAGGCTGTAAGTGGTATCCTGTCGATACAAACGTTATCATTAATGCAAAACCAACTATAGGAAACTATTTTTCTTCCAACATCAGCTTTTAAATATGAATACCAATAATGCAATTATAATGCAGGGTTACATTTCTTTAAAAAAAATCGAAGGTTTCAATTCAATTATCGTTTGAGAACCTGTATAATATACACTGTACAATGAAACAAGGATTCAAAATCAGATGAAAACAGTTCCTAGACTGAAAAGTTTAATCTTGTTATAAGTGATAAATCTGGATATTTGCCAATATTGTACATTCAAACACTATATATACATACATGCACACATAATTGCCTCAAGTTAGAAATCTTTCTTTTTTTAAATTTAATTTCATCTTTTTTCTTAAGAGAAAGAGTCACTGTCACCCAGGCTGTAGTGCAGTGGCACGACCTTGGCTCACTGCGGCCTCAACCTCCTGGGCTCAAGTAATCCTCCCATCTCAGCCTCCCAAGTTGCTGAGACTACAGGTGTACACTGCCATGCCTGGCTAATTTTTGAATTTTTGGTAGAGACAGGGTCTTGCTATGTTGCCCAGGCTGGTCTGGAACTCCTGAGGTCCTGCCTCTGCCTCCCAAAGTGCTGGGATTATAGGTGTGAGTCACTGCTCCCAGCAGAAACCTATTTTTCTGTAGTAACTTAGAAAACTGCTTCAGTCTAACTTGAAAGGATTAGGAACAGAATATCCTACTATAGGAACTTTTCTAATAAAATCCCATATTGTCCAAATGATCCCTCTGAAATTTTTCAAGTATATTTAGAATACCCAAATATGAATATAACTACTGAATATTCCTCAATGAATAGTAGCACTTTATGCACTGATATTTAACCAAAACTCAGAAAGTACATACATGGCAGGGCGCAGTGGCTCATGCCTGTAATCTCAGCACTTTGGGAGGCCAAGGTGGGTGGATCACCTGAGGTTGGGAGTTTGAGACCAGCCTGACCAATATGGAGAAACCCCGTCTCTACTAAAAGTACAAAATTAGCCGGACATGGTAGCACATGCCTGTAATCCCAGCTACTCAGGAGGCTGAGGCAGGAGAATTGCTTGAACCCAGGAGGCAGAGGCTGCAGCCCAGCCTGGGCAACAAGAGCGAAACTCCAGCTCAAAAAAAAGTACATATACTCACAACTGGAAAAATCCATTTGTAATTGACAAGTTTGCTTTTCAAAAACATACCTTCATGCTTCTGTTTCCCTGCCAGCCATGACTACCACCACTTCCTCAATTCTCCTGCCAGGAGTAAAGTCTGAGGAATGTCTTTTGGCCTGAATGAGTGGTGGAAACAGGGAGGGACATATCCCAAAGGAAAAATATTATGGTTTTGCTAATAATATTTCCTACATTTTATCTTCTTCTTTATAATAGTGTAGAAGGGAAATTCTCAAAGGTTCATGTTCCTATCTTTAACACTATTTCTGTAGACCACAAAAAAATGCCTCTAGTTTTGTAAGAAGATATTAAACACGTTCTTTGTAATAATATTTAGCCACCATAAAGTTTGCAAGTTAGGTACAAGGCAGTAGACACACTGGTGAGTGCAAAAATTCTCCTTGCTTTTGAAAGGAGAAAAAGGTTGGAAATCTAAGGAAAAAGATTATCGTATTTCCCAATCCTGAAATGGAAGTACTTCAAGTATACCAAACCTCAATCATTTTATATGATGGGTGTGTGGGCGAGTGAATGAAATGAAAATCAAATACTAGGCCAGGTGCGGTGGCTCATGCCTGTAATCCCAGCACTTTGGGAGGCCAAGGCAGGTGGATCACGAGGTCAGGAGTTCGAGACCAGCCTGACCAACATGGTGAAACCCCGTCTGTACAAAAAATACAAAAATTAGCCAGGCGTGGTGGCACGCACCTGTAATCCCAGCTACTCAGGAGGCTGAGGCAAGAGAATCGCCTGAACCCAGGAGGCAGAGGTTGCAGTGAGCCGAGATCACGCCACTGCACTCCAGTCTGGGCAACAGAGCGAGACTCCATCTCAAAAAAAAAAAAAAAAAGAGCTGCCATCTTGCGTCCCCGTGTGCGTGTGCCTGATCTCAGGTGGTCCACCCAAGATCCCCTGAGCACCAACCCTAGTCCCCCGCGCGGCCCCTTATTCGCTCCGACAAGATGAAAGAAACAATCATGAACCAGGAAAAAACTCGCCAAACTGCAGGAACAAGTGCGCATTGGTGGGAAAGGAACTGCTCGCAGAAAGAAGAAGGTGGTTCATAGAACAGCCACAGCAGATGATAAAAAACTTCGGTTCTCCTTAAAGAAGTTAGGGGTAAACAATATCTCTGGTATTGAAGAGGTGAATATGTTTACAAACCAAGGAACAGTGATCTACTTTAACAACCCTAAAGTTCAGGCATCTCTGGCAGTGAACACTTTCACCATTACAGGCCATGAAATGCTACCCAGCATCTTAAACCAGCTTGGTGCAGATAAGTCTGACTAGTTTAAGGAGACTGACCGAAGCTCTGCCCAAACAATCTGTGGATGGAAAAGCACCACTTGCTACTGGAGAGGATGATGATGATGAAGTTCCAGATCTTGCGGAGAATTTTGATGAGGCTTCCAAGAATGAGGCAAACTGAATTGAGTCAACTTCTGAAGATAAAACTTGAAGAAGTTACTGGGAGCTGCTATTTTATATAATGACTGCTTTTTAAGAAATTTTTGTTTATGGATCTGATAAAATCTAGATCTCTAATATTTTTAAGCCCAAGCCCCTTGGACACTGCAGCTCTTTTCAGTTTTTGCTTCTACACAATTCATTCTTTGCAGCTAATTAAGCCGAAGAAGCCTGGGAATCAAGTTTGAAACAAAGGTTAATAAAGTTCTTTGCCTAGTTAAAAAAAAAAAAAAAAAAAAAGAAGAGGGTATCAACCTTTGGGTAACAGTAATTGCATATATAAGATGATCATGGGGCCGGGCACAGTAGCTCACGCCCGTAATCCCAGCACTTTGGGAGGCCAAGACGGGGGTTATCACTTGAGCTCAGGGGGTCAACACAAGCCTGGCCAACACAGTGAAACCCTTTCTCTACTAAAAATACAAAAATTAGCCAGGTGTGGTGACGAGTGCCTGTAATCCCAGCTACTTGGGAGGCTGAGGCAGGAGAATCACTTGAACTCGGGAGGTAGAGGTTTCAGTGAGCCAAGATTGCACCACTACATTCCAGCTTGGCCAACAGAGTAAGGCTCTGTCTCAAAAAAAAAAAAAAAAAAAAAAGGTGATGATCATGGGCTCTTTTAACTTAGTTTATTAACAACCAACCGCCAAAGACTGAAGCATTCCAAGGCTACGTTAAAGCCCTCAGTTGTTTGGTATGTTTTCTCAGTTGTTATTTTTCCCCTAAAGTTTTTCAGTGAAGCCCTAATTTTTCAGTATTTGTCACTAATCTCAAATTAGGAACACAATGTCAAAACTGCATTGATGGCTGGTTTTAGCCCAATATTCTTTAATGTAGACCCAATATTCTTTAATGTAAACCCAATACACAGTATTTCAATAGGTATTTTTTAACACTTCTGTAGTGACAAAGTCCAACTGACTATATTCCCTAACGGCAGAGACTACGTAATCTAGTTTACCATTGTATATCCCATCTTTCATAGGTACTTTTTTTTTTTTTTTTTTGAGACGGAGTTTCACTCTTGTCACCCAGGCTAGAGTGCAATGGCGCGATCTCAACTCACTGCAACCTCCACCTTCCAGGTTCAAGCAATTCTCCTGCCTCAGCCTCCCAAATAGCTGGGACTACAGGCATGCGCCACCATGCCAAGCTAATTTTGTATTTTTAGTAGAGACGGGGTTTCTCCGTGTTGCTCAGGCTAGTCTTGAATTCCCGATCTCAGGTGATCTGCCCACCTCAGCCTCCCAAAGTGCTGGGATTACAGGCGTGAGCCACCACTCCCGGCCAGTTTTTTTCTTTTTTTTTCTTTTTTTGAGACGGAGTCTTGCTCTGTTGCCAGGCTGGAGTGCTGTGGCGCAATCTCGGCTCACTGCAATCTCAGCCTCCCGGGTTCAAGCAATTCCCCTGCCTCAGCCACCCGAGTAGCTGGGACAACATGCGCGCGTCACCATGCTAGGCTCGTTTTTTGTTTTTTAGTAGAGACGGGGTTTTACCATGTTGGCCAGGATGGTCTCGATCTCCTGACCTCATGCTCTGCCTGCCTCAGCCTCCCAAAGTGCTGGGATTATAGGCACGATGAGCCACCGCACCCAGTCCCCCATAAGTACTTTAAATACCAGCTGATTTTAACAATGAGCCCTAGAGAAACTTACGAAATGCATGTATACAGTTTGAACATAATTTGAGAGGGTTCACAAATCTCTATCCCACCCATGGACCCCAGCTTAAAAACCACCAATATAGTATATTTAAAATCCAACTGCATTTCTTTAATTTTATTTTACTACTGTTTTTTGTTTTTTGAGTGGGGGTCTCACTCTATCACCCAGGCTGGAGTACAATGTCACGATCTCAGCTCACTGCAACCTCTGCCTCCCAGGCTCAAGTGATCCTCCCACCTCTGCCTCCTGAGTAGCTGAGACCACAGGTGAACACCACCGCACCAGGCTGATTGGGTTTTTTTTTTTTTTTTTTTTGTATTTTTGGTAGAGGGGGCGTTTCACCATGTTGCCCAAGCTGGTCTCGAACTCCTGAGCTCAAGCGATCCACCAGCCTCAGCCTCCCAAAATGCTGGGAATACAGGCATGAACCACCTAGCCCAGCCCATTAATCTTACATAATAAAGCAAATCTCCCCAAAATAACCTTTTGTCTCCCATAGTCACTACACAGACCACAAATTCCTTCATATGGTCAGAAATGCAGTCCCCCTTCAAGCTATATCTTGTCTCATAATGGTTTCAATTAACTAAATAAAAGACCTTAAAAATTAAACGGACCTATTTAATGATAGTGACACCAACAAAACCTCCAAACGTCAACCAGCTAGGGGGGAAAAAAAAAACAAATTACTCAATGAACTATTAAAATAGCCAAGTATGAAAACAAAACTGGAAGTGCCCTTAAGATCAGATACTACCATTCACTCCCACTCAAAGGGAAAAAAAAAAAAGATCTTAGTTTACAATATAGTTGTTTCCACAATTGTGCCAAAATCGCTTCTCTACATTTGAATTCACCTTCAGTAATATTTTTTGAGGTGACAGCACAAGCATAAACAGGCCAGAAACATAAAATAGCTTTAAAAATCGCAATAAAAGAGGAATATTTATTTTATGAAATGACATATCAACCTCTATAAGACTTAACTCTCAAACTATGCTACAGAATCAGTTTACCTTCAAAAGTCTCTAAACTGGATCTTTTTCTTTCTTTTATAGTAACACTTCTCCCTAGTCACAAAAGGATTCATCATCTTTCTACTGTCTTCTCAGAAAAAATTTCCACAATCCACATTTCTTCCTAAGAAAATGGTAAAGGGAACCTGAATAATACGTACTGGTTATCTTAGAGTTTTGTTTTAACTTAGGTGGCCCTCAGGAAAGTTGCTTTTCAACATTAAGACAATATAATCACCTCAGTCTAACAGTCACTTGAAAAAAATTCAACTGGAAATTCTCCTGGATTTTAAAAAAAACACTATCTTGTCTTTTTACTATTGACCATGTACCAATAAAAACTCCCCCAAAAGAGTAAAAGTAAACAAACTCCCAGAATATGGCAATTTAAAATAATTTAAATCACTTTCATTCCCACGGAAATCCCTACAGGTCTTATTTTATTTTATTTTAGAGACAAAGTCTCGCTCTGTCGCCCAGGCTGGAGTGCAATGACGCGATCTCAGCTCACTGTAACCTCCACCCCCAGGTTCAGGGGGTTCTCCTGCCTCAGCCTCCCAAGAAGCTGGGATTACAAGCACACGCCACCACACCTGGTTAATTTTTATGTTTTTGGTAGAGATGGGGTTTCACCATGTTGGCTAGGCTGGTCTTGAACTCCTGACTCAGGTGCTCCACCTGCCTCGGCCTCCCAAAGTGCTGGGATTACAGGCATGAGCCACCGTGCCCAGCCTCTACAGAGGTTTTAAATCCCTTCTTAATGCTTACTAAGTGGGCAAGTTATTTGGTCTCTCTATGCTTCAGTTTCTTCTGAAAAAGAAGGTATTAATTAGGGTCATCATACATCCTTTCTCTCAAACAGTCCTAGTTTCTGCTATTATCTCAGCATGCCATTTGGTGAGTGCCCCCTTTCACTCACTCTTCACTTGATCTTAGCCAAAAGGCCAAGAAGCAATCCCTTTCAGGCTCAAAAGTATCCTGGCTTGAACAATAAATCATATGGTCACCCTACCTCATAGAGTTATGAAGATAAAGTAAGCTAATACACACAAAGCATTTTTTAAGAGTATCTGGCATATGGTAAGAGTTCAGTTAGTATTAGTTCTTGTTAATGTTAGTCACTGTCAGTGACTTCTTATAGAAGATTTTGAACTGTATAATGAACAGTGCTCCCACAATATTCCTTCTTATAAATAAAATGATGCATTTAATGTCCCACATTAAATTCTTCCAAAAAACTAAGCAGCACTAACTGCTTGAAATCAACACTAACCAATTTATCCCACAGCAATAGCAGTATCAACAGCATTCACATTGTATCACGAATTGTAATAGAGGCCATATTAGAGTTACTAACAGGAAAGTGACAGTGAAAAGTAAAACTTTATTTAGTGCCAAACCAAGTCCCTTAATATTCTAGCAGCCTGTCTCAACCAGTGTTCCTCATGTTAACTACAGAACTCAGAAAATGACTTGACTACAGAACTCAGAAAATGACTTGAGTGACTATTTCCTGAAGTCTCCCAAGAATAATACCTAACTAATATCTTTCTAGATGTGCAGGGGAGAAACTAATTTATAATATATGATGGATGCCTTGGGGAGTAATTCTGTCATGGAACACCAGTTCTTGATTTTCTCGGAATACAAAGGGGGAAATATGGATGAAAAGACTCCTCAATGAACAAAGAGTCTAAGACTGCTTGCTGTTCATCACCTGAGAAAAAAGTATTTCCTACATGTTAAAGCTTAAAGGAATGATCAATATAAATATATAAATTTGACTCATGGCAATGAAAAGCACAAATAGATACATTTGGTTTTCCTTGTCTCCACAAATTTATCTTAGGTCAGAAGTCCAACATCCAGAATTCCTTCAGATAAAAAAAACTTCAGTTACAATTAAAAAAAAACACAAAAAACAAACAGGAAGACCGGGCGGGCGTGGTGGCTCACGGCTGTAATCCCAGCACTTTAGGAGGTGGAGATGGGTGGATCACCTGAGATAGGGAGTTCCAGACCAGTCTGGCCAACATGGGGAAATCCCATCTCTACCAAAAACACAAAAAATTAGCCGGGCGTGGTGGCACACGCCTGTAGTCCCAGCTACTTGGGAGGCTGAGGTGAGGGAATCGCCTGAACCTGGGAGGTGGAGGTTGCAGTGAGCCCATCGTGCAACTGCACCACAGCCTGAGCAACAAGAGCAAAACTCTGTCTGGGGGGAAAAAAAAACAGAAAGGAAAAAGAAAACTGAGACTAAGATACCGATCACTAATGAACCTAGTAACTTGGGGCCCTGATATTAACTATTTATCACCTGATAACAGTAACAAGAAAACTTAGTAGTGAAAGATGAACTAAAATAGGAAGTATAAGCAAACAGGAGACATTAATAGAATAAAAAAGTATTTTTAAGGTACAATTAGATAACAAAAAATCCCCCTAAAGAACCAGAGTGCTGAATTATTAAAGATTAGCCTGAACGTTTTACTTCAAATCTAACCACTCAATAAAACAAGCTGAAGGACTGGGGAACAT